TACATGTATACAAATACAGTGACTAGTGTCGGTCCAGGCCGTTTCGTCGACATTATGGGTTTAGGAGATGTTCGAAATTACAAGATAATTTGGCCAACTTAATGTAAATTTGCTAAGCTGTTTTATGTACGTACACATAACTGCACGAGACGACAAAATGATAGCACAATTCGTAGCATGTTTTGATACAGGAAGCGGGAGTGAGTTTTTAGCGAATCAGAATGCAGAGCACAATGCACCAAAAAAAAAAAAAACAAAACTAACATTACATCCGCGAAATAGCGAATCCGCGATAAGTGAAACGCGAAGTAGCGAGGGATCACTGTATACATGTCTGTACATATATACATATATATATATATATACAAAATTCCTCATATTATATAGCTAGATATAAACATAGAAAACTATATGTGTATATATATATGTCAAAAAGAGAGGTGGATCGTGTCAATGGTTAAGTTTGACTCTCAGAGGGAGGCGTTGTACAGGTTGATGACCACAGGCAGGAAGGAAACAACGGAACTGTAGAAAATATGAGGAATATACAGCTCCAGATGTGCCAACATCTGGGGTTTTTAGCTCGGAAAGAAATGCACTTGTTGGGTTTGGTGTAAAGGTTAATGAGAAAGCTTCTCTCTCTCCGCCCTCCTCATCCCGCCGTCCACTCGCTTCAAACCGCCCGTCTAAACAACGTAACTGTAGAAATTATGAGGAATGTTAGTTTTGGTTCTTTAGCTGGAAGCCTGAGAATAAACCAGAGTAGATCAAGAGTAATTTGTTAACACATTACATTAACATCCGTGTTAACTGTTCTTTCAACACCATACTTAAGTCATTTCTTTTATATAGTACTTGTACTTCTACTCCACTCCTCTACTCCAGTACTTTATACATCTCTGTTCAAAGGTCAGGTCAGGGTTGTGGTACCAAAAACTAAGGTGAAGGACTGCTTATCTGAAAGCTTTCTCATTAACCTTTACATCAAAACCAACAAGTCCCTTTCTTTCTAAGCTGAAACTTCTAAGTACATTCTAAAAAATACCTTGTGAGTAACCCAAGATGTTTTGAAGACAACTAAAAATCTGTAAAAGCGTCTGAGGTCAACCACTTGATCCAATCCTGATGGAGCTGCATTTCCTCTGTACTCAGTAAAACTGATGGCAGATATCCAGAAACAGCAGCTGAGTTTAGCAGAAGAAAAGATCTGGAAAAGCCTCATTAAAAAGAGGAAAAAGTGGATAAATTATGGTTGGCTTATTTGTCCAATCATATTCCAGCCCATTGTTAGTTTTGGTTCTTTATCTGGAAGCCTGAGAACAAACCAGAGCAGATCAAGAGTACAAATACAGTCTGGAAGAGCCTGGATTTCTGGGGGTGATGGACAGTTTTCCTCTGTTTTCCAACAGGAGGACGAGTGTTATTGGCCAGTTAGCTCTGACAGGAACAGGCCAGGT